CATTAATTACTCTTACACAAATTTTTATTATCATGATCTGTAAAATAATTAATAATTATATTCATCATATTATTTGGTGGTTCATATTGTAGTCCTAAAAATAAAATCATCGTAAGATTTTATAGAGGATTACATTAGCCTTTTAGTTTATTATATTTTCGGTGCTTATTATATTAATATTTTAATTTGACTTGAAGAATAAAATGAAAGTTATTGAATGGTGATCGGTTTGTGGGAGTGGATGTCCACAAGAACTCGAAAGACATGTGTACTGATTTCGTATTTTTCCTTCTATTTTTAATGAGTAAAGTAGTAAGAATGATATTGCATTTTTTTTGGTATGATTCTCTTTATTTTGTATCTTTTGTGAATTTCTTATTGTAATTTTTTAGTTCAAAATAGTAAAAAACTTATAACCGCGCGAAGCGCGGACAAGTGCACTAGTTACATTATAAATTTCAAAACAATTAATTTAAACTTAGAAAAATAAACAAACATTCATATTTTCGTAATTCAAAAAATCAAAATAACTAAAAAAATTTATTTTATTTTTTGAAATAGCTATATGTGTCATCCTGTTTATCCCATCCCGTTCAATTTCGATCTGTTTCGATCCGGTCCGGTTCCATTCCGGTATATAGTGGGACGGGACGGAACCTAGTGTCTTTCTTCTCGCTACTACCTCTGTACAATTTTATTTATTCCTCTTTTCTTTCTTCGTACCACTACCTTTACCTCCAATCAACTTTTTTTTTAACCTCTATGAAACTATACACACCTATAGAGAAAAGTGAGCAATGAGATTGAGTACTCACATATTGTTGTACTAATATGATATTAATGAGAAAAAGAAAGAAAAAATTGTGATGAGGGGCATCATTGCTAGAGAACATCAACCTAAAATGCACATGATTACTCAAAGTTCTCTTGGAAGTAGGACCTAATTATTAGTTATTCATCAATAATACCAGATCCAAAACTATCGTTATAAGTCTATTAAATACTAGTACTATAGGAAAAAAGCAACATTCACCAAAATACTTTGTTAGGAAATTGCCCCCACATTTTACTTACAATATTTATTAGTTTGACATAGCTACCATTAGAGTTTATCCAAGAAAAATAGTAAGTGAATATTAATATCGTCATTGTCTTATACACATATCTAAAAATAGTTATCTCAAATTATTTATCATTTTAAAAGATTAAACTAAAATAAGTTATTGATTTCCTACTTTATTCTTAGTAATAATTATTATTGAAAATTACAAATACCTCAAAATGGTAAAGAAAAATTATTTCTTAAGTCATAAATAAGAAAATAATCACAAACTCTCCTAATGTGAAAAACATGTAAGATGACAAATAATTTAAAATGAATGTACCATTTTAGAGTTCAAACACAAAACTTTTTGGTAAAAGTGAAAACAAAAATTAGTTATAGAATTCATTTTTAAGATTGTACTTAAAATTTTATAAATGAGAAGTCTCTTTCCATTAGCTAGTGGAACTTATAAATAACAGGTTTCACTAATTTTACTAGTTTAAGGTTTTACCAAAACATAATTAGTTTAGAGAGGACATGAAAAAAGTAAGGTCCATTTGGCCATGCGATATATGGAATCATGATATGATATTATAATATGAAATCATGAGATGAAGTTGAAGTTTTGGTTGGATATGCGATATGAATATTTTGTGTTATATATTTTCTCATAAACATAAGAATCTCATAAGTTGTAAAACTATTAAAATAACCTCAATTGTTTATTCAATCTTACCAAATAAACAAAAAATTATAAAATCTCATAATAAATTATTACAAAGTTATTTGTTCTCCACTTAAGTAATTGTTTCATCTAACTTTAATTGATCAAACGTTTATTCAATAAAAGAATTGAAAATAAATTATAGTGTACTAGTCTTTAATATAATTCTCCCACATAGTACGGACAATCTCCTCACGTTGAACTTGCATTTCTCGATCATATGATGGAGAAGACGAGATGCATATGATGCATTCTTCCAATACATGCTATGCATATGATGCATTCTTCAGAACTTAAAAATCTAAGGAAAAAAAATACCATTTTATACTATGCATTTTCCAATACATGCATATGATGCATTCTTCAGAACATTGATCAAGTTTATTATTTTATTAATTATTTTTAAAAAATATAATAAATCAAGCATGAATAAATAAAAATAGACGGAGAGTATAATTTTCAACCAAATAAATTGAACCATCAAAAACGTGAAACACGTCACCATTAACCTTCAACACTCTTGCTATAATCATTCAATTTTTCGTGGTCTAAAAAAGGCAAAACAATTAAAATAAATGCATAAGAACTATTTAGTTTTTTATTTCTTCAATATTTTTAGCTTTACTAATTATGCCTTTTTACTTATAACTCGTCTATTTCATTAATTTAATTTCCTGTTAAAGCAAAAAGTCTCACATTGGTGGTTAATGAGATGAGTGAACTCCTTATAAGGCTTGGACAATCCTCCTTCATTTGAATTAGTTTTTGGGGTGTGAGTTAGGCCCAATACCTAATTTAACATGGTATCAGAGCAGAGCTCATCTCACCCGATGTTGGGACCCGAAAAAACCAAAAATTGCCCACGCACCAGATGTTAAGCACTGGGCGTAAGGTAGGTCAAAAATTGCCCAAAATTGCCCACGCACCAGATGCTAAGCACTAGGTGTGAGGTGATGTGTTAAATTAAAAAGTTCCACATTGGTGGTTAATGAGATAAATTGACTCCTTATAAGGCTTGAGCAATCCTCCTCCCTTTGAGCTAGCTTTTGAGGGGTGAGTTAGACGCAAGACCTAATTTAACATTTCCCATCAACAATTACAACCATGTCTATCTCCATTATTTTTTAGGTTTTTGTTTTATTCTTAAAATGGAAGACATCGCATTGATTGGTTTCTATTCCTCACATGAATAAATGAATCTAAGACAATCATCAAAATGAAATAAAGTAACTTGTGACCAATATATTCACACAATCCAAGAAAAAAAGCTTGGTATATACCAAAAATATTTACCTAACTTCTTAATCCTAATTTGATTGGCATGTTTATCATCTTTGGTAAATTGAAGAAAAGAACAAACATCAATAATTGAGTAATTGAGGTCAAAATACTTGGATCTAATTAGTAAAATTTAACATCATGCTCACAAGTTGTAATATGAGTTGATCTACCAAGATTAGGCAAATGTTTTCATATTCAATAAAGTTGACGTCCTTGATTTAAAGAAAGTAAAAGAGAATGAAAAAAATTAAAAATAAAATACACAAAATTGACTTCAATATTAATGAAGTGGATAAAAATTATGAAGGAACGAGATTTAAAAAGAGTTCAATTGATTCAATAAATTACTTCCTTTCTCTCCAATTATATGTCGTGATTTGCTTTTATACGCTCCTTAAAAATCATTTACTAGGAGATTTTTTTCTTTGTTGTGTGTGACTGTTTAACCCTTATTTATGTTTTAACATATTATCTATCTTCATGAAACATTACGCTATTTATGTTTAATCTTGAGGTGTTTGCAGTTTTTAAAAATAATTACTACTGAAAAATGAAAAAGAATTAATTATGTCTTGAACTTACTAAATGAAAAACACTCCTTCCATATCGTACTCTTTCCGTTCGGATTTACTTATCAAATATTTTTTAATTTGATTTTATTTTTATTTGTTATTTTTGATAAATTAAGAAAGAACAATTTTATTTTTCATAGTATACCCTCAATTTATTATTCTAACATTGAGTCTTTAAAAAATGTAATTATATGTTTGAGACTCTATCAATTAGTAGGGGTAAAATGATAAACTCAGTATATCAATTATTGTTTTCTTAATAGATATACCAAGTCAAAATTCGACAAGTAAACCTCGATCACTTTCCCCATATTAACTTGACCCAACTTTTTTTAAAAATGATTATTAAGAGTATTTATTAAATTAATTTTTTAATGATAATTTGAAACTCTAATAAAATATAATAAAATTCTCTTGATTTTTTAATTAAATAAATAAAATAATATATATATATATATATATTTGATGATACTACAAGAACTAAATAATATGGAATGAGAAAGTAATTTGAGATGACTAATTTAAAATTATTAAAGATAATAATTTGAGAGGAGATGGAAGGATTAATTATTTGTTTTGGGGAGAAGAGACATAATAGAGGAATCTAATTAAGATTGAGAATGATGGAAATAATGTCTTGTAAGAGCAAAACATGGATTCTAATTTCACTTAACCTTCTCTATGTCGGCTTCTTCTCTCTATTTTTACAAAACGTATCATATATAATCATTTAATAATTACGTTCAATAAAGTCTCTAAAAAATTTCCAAACAATTAACTAAATACTTATCGCATAAAATAAAATAATAGGGAAAATTTTAATAACTCAATTAATTAATTATTTAAACTCAAACATGATAATTCCTTCCTCATTTCTCCTTCCACGGTCCTCAATTTTTAAAAATAAAATAAAGAATAGAATAGTATAAAGGTTGTATGTTACAGTAGCAATAAAAAGCAGCTCCGTTTTCATTGGCGTCTGATTTTCCGGCGACTTCTCTGATTTCCCCCACACCGACCACCACCTTGATCTTTGTTTGCTACACTGCACCTTGGGTGTCGTGTAACTTTATTCTCTCTGTCTTCCCATTTTTTTGAAGCATATTTGTTCGTTCTTGATTTTCCGGCGACGCTTGGTGGGTTCTAAGTCTCAATCACTTCCTGAAATTATAATCAGAGATTAAAAACGGAAAAAAGTTTCTCTGGTGGTGGTGCAGTATTAGTTGAAAAGACGCAGTCTTTTGTGGGGGTCCTGCCACCGGAAAATGGTGGCGATTTCTTGACAATGGAAAAAAAAGAAGCATATTTGCATTTTAGGAATTCCGTGTTGCAATTATGGAGCTAGTAACTAAAAATGATGGAGATTTTTCTATTTCTATTTCTATGTTGAGAAAGTGAAAAGCTTTTTGAGCTGGAATTAAGTGAAAGTAGCTTTGTGTTGGACAAATTCTTGTTTGTTACTTTTGGGAGATAAGCAATTCAATTAAAGTGGATTTTTCGCTGAAATGAAAGCGCCATCAAACGGATATCTACCAAATTCAGGAGAAGGTTTTTACTAAATCTTCATTCATTCACTTGCATTTTTCATTGGGGGATATGATAAGTGAAATTTGCTGCCATATTTTAGCTTTGATGGTTTGCTAGAGTAATAAATTGATTGTTCTGTCACTTGATAGCCATAATATGTAAGTTTTTCTTAAAGTAACTTGTCCTTGTAAGGCTCAAGGTTCCTGTGAATATTTGCCTTTTTTTTGAAGAAACATTCCTATTGCAAAGAATGAGAACAGAAATACACTTTATCTGAACTGCTTCTACTTGTTTATTCTTTCATTAGTTTGTTATTTTTATGCATTAGCAAAATGTTACTAATACAATTTGTATATCCAGGAGTACAAATTGTATTTAGTGTAATTGATCTACGGGTTTATGTCTGCTTTTTAAGTTGGATTTTGGATTATATACTGGATAACCATAAAATTTTCTTGCCCGATATCTGTTACTTGCTTTAAGTTTCATTTTTGACCTCTTATTTACTTAGCAAATGCCTCAAATGGTCTACTTTCTGTTAGTCGTTTTTATGGGGGTTGATTATGGGCGGAAGTGCGGAACATGAGCATGGGGATGGTTCTCATTTCATTTAGAAATGCCTAAACTACTCCTGGCAGCTTGTGTTTACTTCATTTTGGAGAAGAAAGAGTACCTTTCAATTTCTGTGTATCATTCTCTGTCAATTAAGTAGGTTGTGCTATGCTGACATGTAAGTACTAGGAGGGGTAAGGACAGAGTTGAAAACGAGGTTATCACTGGAATAGGAACAAAAATAATAATGCAAATTTTGCTTGATCTGAGTTCATGATGCTTTAATAGGATCCACTTGCCATAAGCTCATATTCTCATATGGTTTTCTTTGAGAAAGGAAAATGAAAAAGTTGTTCTTTTCATGGATCACTAGATGAAGAAATTACTGTTATCTGTGGACATGCTGAAGCTATCCAGTATTGGTTAGTTTTTGATTGTCATTAGGTATACACCTATTAGAGTGTCACACATATCAACTGTATGAGGGTCACATGATATTCACGTAGGTTCCTGGTATTACTGAAGTTTTATAATCATTTGGCTTGCAGAACTCCTTATCTTTATGATAGGGAGCCAAGGAGCAACGGTAAAGCTGTCTCCGTGACACCTATAGTCACGGGTTCGAGCCGTGGAAGCAGCCACTAATGCTTGTATTAGGGTAGGCTATCTACATCACATCTTTTGGGGGTACAGCCCTTCCCCAGATTCTGCTTTCGCTAGATGCTTTGGGCACCGCCGCACCAGGCTGCCGTTTTTAACTCATCTTTATCTACCGGTTGTTTGTATTTCTGCTTAAGACAGGTTTCACGGTAATAATCCTTCAGTTGGGGCAAAAAAAAGGTAAAACAGAAGAAAATTTCCTTTTTTGGTTGCATGAATGATGTTTACATAGCTGGTAGTCAAGCGAATAAATTCGCACATAAAGGACCTTAATTTCTAGCATATTGAAGCATCAGACTTATGTATGTATAAAATTGAACTTTAAATTTTGTAATATGCATACCTGAAAGTTTGTATCATAATGCAACAGGAGAAAGAAAGCTCATGAATTCAGAGTTATGGCATGCTTGTGCTGGCCCATTGGTTTCTTTGCCTCCTGTTGGAAGCCTTGTGGTATATTTTCCTCAAGGTCACAGTGAGCAGGTATGTATCTTTTGAAGTTGAATAGGAGTATTACACCGCCCAGATACGGTACAATGATGAAGCCTTACATCAATATCAACACTATGCAGGTGGCGGCATCAATGCAAAAGGAGACAGATGGAATTCCAAGTTATCCTAATCTTCCTTCCAAGTTGATCTGCATGTTACACAATGTTACTCTACATGTATGGCATCTTCCTCTATCCACATATTGGCTGGGAATTCTATTGTCTTTCCCTTTCCATATATTTTGAATAAAATTAATGATCGAATATGGGTGTTTTCTGATGCGTTCTTTGTATTTACAAAGACGTAAATGGAAACTCAGGATCACTGTACTGCTTTGTAAGCTTCGTAGTGTTTATTTGGATCCACAATCTCGAATTGACGTTGCATGTGAATTAAGTAGAAAAATATTGTTCTATTACGGCAAGTTAAAGTGTAGTGGGGTTTCCCTTTTCCTAACATGTTGTACTTGTGACATTTTTGTTAGGCTGACACTGAAACTGATGAGGTCTATGCTCAGATGACTCTTCAACCTGTCAACAAAGTAAGTCCTTTATTTTGTTTGCAATTTCAGCTGTCATCTTTTCGGTCAAAGTACTTTTTACCTCCTCCCATAAGAAGTTGTATGAAACAAACTTTTTGATTCTGCAGTATGACCAGGAGGCTTTACTTTTATCTGATATGGGCCTTAAGCAGAACAGGCAACCTGCTGAGTTTTTCTGTAAAACTCTCACTGCTAGTGATACAAGCACACATGGTGGATTTTCTGTTCCTCGTCGAGCAGCAGAGAAGATATTTCCTCCTCTGGTTTGTTTTTCTTCACAAAATGTCTTCAAGAAAAGAGATCTACCTTTATGCATCTGACTGGAGCTTCTTTATAGGACTATGCAATGCAACCTCCTGCTCAGGAGCTAATGGCTAGAGATTTGCATGACCAAGCATGGACTTTCAGGCATATTTATCGAGGTACTTTTTAAGATCTTTACTCTCTTATGTTGGAAGCTTAATTTTGATAATTCTGTGTGGAACTACTAATGGGGTAACACTTTGAGTCTCTATACTAGTGGTTGACATTTAAGGTTTCTCTTCAAAGATACAGTTTCATGTTGGACTGCTTAGTTAAGTGACTTGAATAATTTGTCTTCGTTTGGTTTTTATACTGCAGTGACTTTTATCTCTAAATCCAACTCAACTTATGAGAAATATGATTCTTATAATATTTTTCTCAAGAGTTTTTGTGTTGGCTTTTAAATATCTTTTAACTAAGATGTAATATTTTTTAGTGTGAGTTTCTTAAAGTATATTGATGTAAAGAAGCTTACCCTAGTGAATTAAGTTTAGGTCATGTAGTGAATTGTGAACATTTTCCCCACAGTGACTGTAGGCATCAATGTATCAGGTAAAAATTGGTCAGTGATAAGTGCTAACAAGGTTCCTTAAAATAAAATTAACATGATTTCAGGTCAACCAAAAAGACACCTTTTGACTACCGGTTGGAGTGTCTTTATCTCCTCTAAAAGGCTTTGTGCCGGTGATTCTGTCCTTTTCATAAGGTAACGGAAAATTTGGTTACTTTTTTTTTTTATTGATATGATAGTCATCTTGTTGCTAAGCTGAGAAAATTTTATGTAGAGATGATAAGTCACAGCTTCTCTTGGGTATAAAACGAACAAATAGACAGCAGCCTGCCTTGTCCTCATCTGTTATATCTAGTGACAGCATGCACATTGGGATCCTTGCTGCTGCTGCTCATGCTGCTGCAAACAACAGCCCGTTTACTATCTTTTACAATCCTAGGTACTATATCTGCCCTTTTTAAATCGAAAATATTTCGTGTTCGGATCTAGATGTTTTCCAGACCTCACTTGTGGGATTTCACTGGGTATGTTGTTGTTGTGGTTGTTTGGATCTAGATGTTGAATTATACACATTTTTATAATCTTGCTCTTTTTGTTCTTGACAGGGCTAGCCCTTCTGAATTTGTAATTCCTCTGGCCAAGTATAATAAAGCTATGTATGCACAAGTTTCACTAGGCATGCGATTTCGGATGATGTTTGAAACGGAGGAGTCTGGAGTTCGTAGATACATGGGTACAATAACAGGTGTTAGTGATCTGGACCCCATACGATGGAAGAGCTCACAGTGGCGTAATCTTCAGGTACTCAGCCATCTAGGATTTGTCCCCAAGAATTTGCGTAGAATTTTGATATATTTAACTTAGTGGTCATAGTAGAGCTCTTCCTGCTTCTTGATATATATTTCTCAGTCATACCAAATACAATTATATATATGTTAGGCAATGTCACTCATTGAGTCATCAGTTGCTACTCCAGATCAGTGCTTGCTTGCATTTTGGTTCATGTTTTTGGTGGTATATAAAAAACTGTATTTGCATTGATCTAATCCTGAGGTATTTCTTTATTTAATTTGTTAGGTAGGATGGGATGAATCAACTGCCGGGGAACGTCCAAGCAGAGTTTCAATTTGGGATATTGAGCCTGTCGTGACTCCTTTTTATATCTGTCCACCACCATTTTTCAGGCCCAAGTTTCCTAAGCAGCCAAGTTTTCCTGGTAAGCTACTTGACATTTAGCCTGTCTCGTATAATGTTTCAAAGGTTCAGAAGAACTAAAACAAAGAGCCTATTAAAGGTTCACTGTAGTTAAAACTCAACTTTGACTTACAGGAAATGTTGGAATGTCCAGTTTTCCGTTGCAGTAAAATATATCTTAATTAAAGGATGTTCATCAACTTAATCTTAACGGTAGCAGCATGATATCAACCTTAGTCAGGCACTATACATAATAGCATGATTCATCTCCCTCATCTCTAGTTGTACAAAAAGGAACATAGTCTACTATAACTTCCTCGATAAAATCCTCAAAAGGGGTAGTGCTTTTGCAGGTGATGAGTCTGATATTGAAAATGTTTTAAAGAGGGGGATGCCCTGGATCAATGATGAGTTAGGTCTAAAAGATTCTCAAAACTCGATATTCCCTGGACTGAGCTTGGTACAGTGGATGAGTATGCAACAGAACAATCATGTGCCAGTTGCCCAATCTGGACTTCCCAGTGTCTTGCACAGTAATATTGGCAGTGATGACCATTCCAAGTTGTTGAACTTTCAGTCACCTACATTAGCTACACCAGGTCTCCAGTTCAACAAACCAAATCAACTAAACCAACCATTTGGTCAAATCCAGCAGCCACCATTAGCATGGGCCCAACAGCAGCAGCAATCGTTACAGTCTCCTGTAAGTGCACAGCAGCAACAACCCACACTGCAGCAACAGCAACACACGCTGCAGCAGCAACAACCCACACTGCAGCAACAGCAACACACGCTGCAGCAGCAACAACACACACTGCAGCAGCAGCAACAGCAACAACAACAACACACATTGCAGCAGCAACAACAACAACACACACTGCAGCAGCAACAACAACACACACTGCAGCAGCAGCAACAACAACACACATTGCAGCAGCAGCAACAGCAACAGCAACAGCACACACTGCAGCATCAGCAGCAGCACACGCTGCAACAGCCACAGCAACACATGTTGCAGCAACAGCCACAGCTTCATCAGCAAGCACAGCAGCAGCTGCAGCAACAACAGCGTCCATCCCAGCAGCAACAATTGACCGGGAATTCATCACCAGTAAATCGTTGTGTATCCCCTAACCAGATACCAAACCAAACTTTTCCACAAGCTGCGGTATATGGTCAGCTTCAGCAACAACAGGTGCTATCAACTAGTACCCAATCACAGCAAAATGTTCCTGTCAATAGAAATCCATTTCCTTCGACATCCTTGGCACAGGACTTCCAATTTCAGCAACAAGTGGAACAGCAATCTAACCTCTTGCAGAAATCCCAGCAACAGCAGACAATACCACAACAAGCTCCACTACAATTGTTGCAGCAAAGTTTGATGCAGAGGCCCCAAGTGCAACCATCATCACAGCAGAGCCTTACGGAACAGCAGCTGCAACTACAGCTTCTTAATAAACTGCAGCAGCAACAACAGCAACAGCAGCAACAAGCACAGCTATTATCTCCCGTAAGCTCTACTCTGGAGCCGCGTATGCCCCAGCAACAACAGAACCGGCAACCACAAGAGCTCCAGTTTGCTCATCAACAATTGAGTTCCAACATCGTGACCACAGCGACACATCTCCAGTCAACCCATCATGCTTTCAACCAACTCCAAAGCCAGCACAAATCCCCTATAACAATCAAAGCACTTTCTGGTGGTACAGATGGAGATGCTCCTTCATGTTCAACATCTCCTTCTACGAACAATTTCCAAGTTTCACCACCAAACTTCTTGACCAAGAACCAAGGGCAAGCGATACTGGTGGATGAATCTGTTGTTGATCCTTCTCAAGAGCAAAACAAATCCGAGTTTCGAATAAAACATGAACTAGTGTTCTCAAAAGGTTCAGAGCAGTCGAAGTACAAAGGCAATAATACTGAGAACTTAGAGGCAGCCTCATCGACAACATCGTATGGGCTGGATTCTAGTGGCTTCAACTTTTCATTGCCTGCATTATGTGTGGATGGTGATGCTCAATCACATTCTAGGAACAGTCTACCTTCTGCAGCAAATAATATAGATGGACTGAACCCTGATGCTTTGCTATCAAGGGATTATGATTCTGGAAAGGATATGCAAAACCTATTCTCTCCTTTTGGCAATGCCCCTAGGGATATAGAAACTGAATTGTCTGATGCTGGGATCAATTCTCAACAATTTGGGGTGCCAAACATGGCATACAAGCCAAGATGTGCCAACGATCTTGCTGTTAATGACAACGGTGTTCTGAATAATAATGCATGGACGAACCAGACTCAGCGCATGAGAACATATACAAAGGTTTGCTGCACGCATGCTTTGCTCTCTTGATCACTCTTTTATGTGTTCTCTTATTTCAAGTTTCATATGATGGATTAGTAGTGTTAAGTCTCATTCCCGTAATTTGTATTTTTCATATCTTTTTTCCAACTGTGAAGGTTCAAAAACGAGGCTCTGTGGGAAGAACTATAGACGTTACTCGCTACATAGGCTATGATGAACTAAGGCATGATCTAGCACGTATGTTTGGAATTGAGGGACAGCTTGAAGATCCTCAAAGAACTGAGTGGAAGCTTGTGTATGTTGACCATGAGAATGATATGCTGCTTGTTGGTGACGATCCTTGGGAGTAAGTGTTGACTTTGTCAAAAGTTGTAGTACTACTTGTCCAAGATATTCAGGTTTTCCCATTCTTTTTTTCTCAGGGAGTTTGTGAGCTGTGTTCAGAGCATCAAAATCTTGTCTTGTGCTGAAGTGCAGCAGATGAGCTTGGATGGGGATTTAGGTAATGTGCCAGTACCAAACCAAGCTAGCAGTGGAACTGACAGTGGTAATGCGTGGAAAGGACACTACGATGACAACTCAGCTGCATCATTTAATCGATGAAGGTGCTCCAATTAAATGAACTAACTTTGTGATACATTGTCCTCAAGGCTGCAAACAACTCAGATCTGCTGATTCTAACTGAAGGCAATTGAGGTAGTAGAACATTACATTCTAGGCAGCTGGTGGGAGCAACTCATGGCGTGTTTTTGGAGTAAATTCACATACCTTTTGAAGTCCCCGCATGTCTCATGGCAGAGTTGATATTAGATTAGTTCGATCGCTACTTTATTGTGAGGTGTGCAAAGCAGTTTTTAATTTATTAATTATTATTTTTCAGATCAAGTAGGTGTAAATTAGCTTAGAAATTCAGGCATGACAAAATTACAGGAAGAAACATTCCTGGTGTACTAAATTTAACAGAAAATGTATAGCTTTGACAGTTGTGGGAAACTTGTCTAATGACATTGCTGAGCTTCAACTTTTATCTTCTCCTCTACAATGTCCATTGTTTAAAGTTTGCTTCCAAAATTGCGACCTAAGTAATACACGAAAATGACGTGAAAAAGCATAATTCTTTATCCAAGAACGAAACCACCATAATTCATAACTTATGACCAAGAACTTCCACTGCCGCAACCAATGAAGAACTTTTTGCTAAAGATTTGCAGCTTGAATATGCTACCTCTTTGATCCACTAGCCACTAGGACCTACGACCTGATCCCGAAAAATGACAAACATCAGCTTGAACACAAGCCAATACATTCTAAATCTATATGAATTGTGCAAATATTATTGCTAATCTTTCATAATCTGCAGTTTTCAATCACTTTTAACATACAAAATTCCCAAAGGGTAATTCCTCAAATCAAGAACAGAAATGCATTCAGAAAATTGATTCTACACTTTGATATTAGTCATTAATTTGCAGAGAGTATTACTCCTCACTCGAAAGTTGGATGCAGCTTCCTCCTTCCTAGATCTCTGCTGAAAATTTTGGCATGGAATAACTCAATAGCCCCACTAAGATAGCACAGCCATTACATCAGACACCCTGAGTGTAATGTAATCAGAACCATCAGCCCCTTTGAATTCACTGCCTGCATATTTGGAGTAGAGAACTGTATTTCCTGGGGATACTGAAAGTGGTTTCCTGTTCCCTTCTTCATCAAGAGGACCAGGTCCGACAGCTATAATCTGTAATTTCAAACATCAAAGAATGTTTAGTTTATAGAACATCTCAATCAATATAGGGAGCATGGGCAAAGGAATGCAACTTCTTCCATCTCTTACCGTGCCAATTGAAGGCTTCTCCTTGGCTGCCTCAGTCAACAGTAAGCCTCCAGCGGTTTTTTCTTCAGCTTCGGCAACCTGAGAGGAAACGCAACCACCGGTTAACAGCCAATTAAAGACCTTGCAGAAAATGCAAATGTTTAAATCAAGTGCAGGCTAAGTTGCTTAGTCTCCCCAAAAATGTTGCCATACCCATGTTGGATCCTCCAAAAAATGCACTACTTTTGAAGGACCCAAAATATGCACCCCAATGACATTTTTGAAGAGTACAAGCAACATAGAATGCAGGAGACAAGCACTAAAGAAAGGGAGATGATGCCAGCAATCTTAAACCAATTTCCTCATATAACCAGCTTCTTTAGAACAAAAAAGGAAAATTAAAGCCGGAATAGACAAACAGATGACTATAGAAACATTAGATACATTGCAAACAAGGACGGGAGGACGCAAATGACAAACCTTGATTAGGACTCTGTCATTTAATGGCTGCAGATCCTTGACATCATCTGTCTCAAGAATACCAACAATATCATCCTCTTTCAGAATGAGGTGCTTTGATCCATCGAACTCCACCTCAGTTCCCGCGTACTTTGAGTAGATGACTTGGGCACCAGTCTATACATAAGATATTTTCAGTCAACTTGATTATCCACTAATGTATCCCAGCTCGACTATATTATTTGAATATATAGTATTACCTTCACACTAATGTCCACTTTGATCTTGCCAGCTGAATGACCCTCCCCAACAGCAACCACCTCACCTCCATTAGGTTTCGACTGGGCTGTTACTGGAAGTAGGATACCACCAACAGTCTTCTCCTCTGTGGTCTTAATCTTCACCAACACTCTGTCGCCCAAAGGCTTAAGAGTTGTGTACTGCAAGGAACAACAGAATTTAACAAATCGCCCCACATAGTAATGTATCTTTGACAAGGGCAACAGCACAATATAATACTTTGAGTCGCGGAAAAGCCAAATCCATTAGCCCTCTAAATATCGGGTTGGTAAACACAATCAAGAATCAAGTACTTGTAAAAGCAGATGAAGCCTAATGTTCAATGATGCCATCTTTAGATTTCAAGAATACTTAAACGGCTACCCAAGCACCAAAATGAGCTATTATTCATCTCCTCATCTTTGTTCAGTGAAACCATATAATCAGCAAACCCAAATTACAAACTTTGTCACACATTTGAACTGGCGGAAAAGCAATACACAGAATGGCATTAATTTATGGTTAAAGTTGTATGTTTCAGCTAACTCTTCCACCAAAAAGTGAGCCCAAGACTTGACCTTTCTTATCTTATCTAAATCTTAAAATGAAAAAACAAAAATTTAGCCGACCCCAACAATTCGTCTTGACACATAGTTGATAAGCAAACAACACTCTATATTAGTACTAAATTTAGAACAAGAAAAGCACCAATAAGGTTCAAATTAACACAAAATTGGCTTTAAAAAACTAAACAGGGCAGTAAAACATCCAATTGGGGAAATGAAAGCAGTTATCGTTAGTGATTTCGAAAACAATAAGAAAATTAGATTACCTTAGGAGCTACGGTGGTGGCAGCCTTGACAACCAGACGACTAAAAGACCTGCTGTTGTTGTGCTTCAAAGGGGCAAAAGATACGGCCTTTACAATGCAAGTGGACCTGAGCCCTTCAAAGGATGCAAAACCATTGCCAGAGATAGACGATGCTGTTAGCTGAGTGGTCGCCATTTCTTTATAAACCCATTCAAATTAAACAATAAAAAATGGTTAGTATACTCAATCGAAACAGGAAAATTAACGTAAAGAAGAAGAATATAGAAGCAAAAGGGTACCTGAATTTGGATAAGTTTTTCTTCTTCACAACTGGAGTAGATTGTTTTTGGAAATATGGAGAAGAGTAGGTAAGAAGAGGATAACAAAACCCTAGAAGGTTCACGAGGAGGACTTTTCTGCAAAAAATAAGATGCTTCTAGAATTTTTGGTTAAGTTTGGCAAAAAATCCAAGGTCTCAAAATCCAGAAAAAATAAATTTTGGGTCAAAATTTAGTTTTTGGATTTTTAAAAATTACCTCAAATTTTTATATTTATAAAAATGTTCATTAATTATAGAAAAGATTATTTAACTACACACCATTTATTATCATATTTTTTTATTTTCCCTACCATTTTAAAAAATATCAAAAATCCCTTCTTTTTTTCCCATCACCCCCTTTTCCGGATACATTAATTTGGAATCTCATACCCATGATTTTCCTTCCTTTTTTCACGCCACAAATCTCTCCATAATTACATCAATTAATCTATTTTTTAAATTTCAAATCTTTTCTATTTCCAATTAATGATTTCAAATTATTCAAGAGGTAGATTTCTTTCCATCACTCAATTTTCGATTTCTTTTATTATTTTTTTTTTAATTTTTTCATCTTAAAAAATAAAAATAAAATTACCTCCGCCCCCTGCCCCCCATTGAAATCTTATTGAACCTTTGCAATTTTAGTTAATCATATCGTCGTTGAAATTTTTTCTTGAAAAATTAATGCATTTACTATTGAAAAACGTCCAAAAATAAAAGTTGGATCTGCCATTGCACGTCCATCACTATCAAACATACAAATTTTTAATGTATCTCGTTTATTTTGAGTCTTAAATTAGCCTTTGTTTTGTTAGTATTATCATTGATCCGATACATTAGTGCTACAATAACCTTTGTTTTATGCAATGTATAATGTTAATATTTAAGGTATTGATACATAACTCTAATGTTGTTGAATCTTCGATTAGTGTTTATCATGTTCAATATAAATGTACTTGATACATAAACTTTATGTTATGCATCACACACACAAAAAAGAAGCTATTTTGGAACAATTACATGTATAATGTATTTTTTTTAAATTTTAAATTATAGTATTTCTCAAACAAAATAAGATACATAAATAATATTGTATCATGCACTAATTTTTTAGTTATGATACGTAAATTCGAATTTATACTAAATGTATCTGATACATAACAATTACCAAACAATAATGTATCGATCTCAAATCTAAAATCTTATGAGCAACACTTTCTTATTTAATGTATCTAGTAGAAATACAACAATTATCAATTTAAATTGAAAGGATCTTCATGATGTATCTTCTCAAAATTTTCGATAATTTTAAAATCAAAACTGAAAGGATTTTCAATGAACTAGGAGAATAATTTTAAAACTCAAAATTTTCAGCAATTTTGAATCAAAACTGAAAGGATCTTCAATGAACCGGGAGAAAAATTTTGAATCTCAAAATTTTCGACAATCTTGAATCAAAATCGAAAGGATATTCGATGAACTTGAAGATTCACAAAAGAAATCGTTTGTCCAACAACTATTTCATCACTTTTGTATCCTTCATAACTCATCTCGCTTATCCAAAATTTCGACAAAAGTTTTTATGAAATACAGAGAACAATGAACAAGAAGAAGAAATTTAATTTTTGAATTTTTTGGTTTGTTACACAATATGATTGAATTCTAGACAATAATTTGGAATGCAATAGCACAATTTATGGGATCTTAATTTGATTTTCAATTCCCCCCCCCCCCCCCCCCCCCCCTTAATTAGTGCAACAGATGGATACTATGAGATCTTAATTTGATTTTTCAGCCTTTTTTTCCTTAATAAGTGCAACAAATTGATACATAATGTTTCAACAATAATGCATCCGGATCCTTAATTATGTATCCGAAATGCCTTAAAAACATGGAATTTGTGTAATTAGAAAAAAAACAAGGATAGAAGGTAATTTAGGTTTTACACTATGGGATTTATGTAAGTTATACATAATTATAACTCCAACTATAATTTTATATATCCAATTCTTCATTAAAATCATGCTTATTTGTTAAAGAGATTGATAGTGTAATATGAGAAGAATATATTAGAGAATAGTTAGTTACTATCGTTGTTATAATTTAATTTTTGCATTTGATAAACCTTTGTAACTAATTGTAATTTGACAAATTGTAATAGCTGATAACTTTACTACACTACTAGAAAACCTGTAGCAACAATTATTTAGCAACAACTAAATATGCGTTGCAATAGATAGTAATTCGCAACGGTTATAACCTTTGCAATAGACAAATGGACCTAATGAAACACTTTAAGAAGTAAATCGTTGCATTAGTGCGACAACCGTTGCCATAGTATCTTTTATTGCAACGGTTCCTACAAACTGTCGCCTTAGGTACTCTATGGCAACGGTTCCGCCAAACTCTTTCCCTCAATTATTTCCCTCCACTTATTTTACTACACCTGCCAAAAGAGTTTTTTTTTATTAATTGTAAAAATAAAATAAAAGGTAAAATATCACTAGGTTAATTTGTTTCTTCAGACTTTTCATCCTCGTAGGTATCGACTTTCTCCTTTCTCTCTGAAGAACAAAACTAGCGTTTTCCTTTAATCCTTCTTCTTTGATTTTCCTCGTAGGAATTTGCAACTTTTGGGTCTTCTTCTTCGTGGGTTTTACGTTTCTGCAGCTACAGGTAAGTCGTATTCCATCTTCTTAAAAGTTAGAAATTTATTAGTAGGGTTCTTGAAAAAGATTTGAAAATAGACAAATTGATTTTTGTGAAGTAGATGTTCTTTGCTAGAGTTTATGTTTATAATGTAATCTTATTGTGCATTAGAGTGTGTATCTCAATTTTGGTGAAGATTGAGAAATCTCTACAAAAATGTTTAGATGGAAATTCTCAGTTTAGGAAGAGTTAATGTTATGAAAGATGAGTTTCGATTCTTCATTCTACATGATAATTCTTATCTATCGAAAAATCTCAAGTTTTTGAATAGAACAAACGATTTCTAAGAATAAAATGAACTGAAGTATTTTTCAACTCTAAAAGTCATTGAAGTCGAGCATTAAGGGATTTTGTTTCTCTCTTTCGAGTACAATTTTCAAGCTCTAAGTTTATACTTTCTTCCTTCTTGTCTAAAATTTTTGGTGGACAAACTACAAGTTGGTCATCAAGCTCAGCTCATTGCTTAAAAAGAGGTAACGTTCCCGTTTCTCTTATTTTTTTCTTTCTTTTTTTACTTTGATGTATATCTGTGTGAATGTTAGACATTTTACATTTACTAATCTCTGTTCGTTATTGCTTATTCATTTTTTAGTTAAATCATTCCATATGAATGTGTTTTATAAATTTAAGGTATGTATTGTAAGTTTAGAATGTTGGAAAAAATTTCACTTTTATGCTTTATTGTAAAAATATTTCATGATCAATTTTCTCTGTTATGAGTTAAGAGCTTCAGAAACTAGATCATTCATGTTACTTTCTGCCTCAGTGAACTCCATCTCATCCATTCATTCCCTAGTGTATTAATGCAAGAAAGCTTTTCTTCTGAACATAGCTGTGTAGTGGTGGTGTGTATTCTTCTTGAAATGAAAACAGAAGTCTGAGGTCGTAGCTTTTTTAATGATTGCCATTAGGGTTATCAGGTGCTTTTAACTAGCATTACTGGTTCAGGAATACATTGAGTAGACCTAGCGTCTAGTTGATCATATAATAAGGTTTTGATTATGAAATCAACCTCTTTATTCTTTGAGCACCGAATAAAACTTTAGGTATTGAGTAGTTCTTTGTTTTCTCCTTTAATATTCTTTTTGTGATAAATATTGTATTTTTTGTTTTAAGATCATTTTTGCTTTTGGAATACATTGAGTAGATCCTTGGTGTAGTTGAGCAAAAAATAAGGCTTTGAGTGTTAACTCAACCTCTTTAAGGCTGCTCCTAGATTTAGATATACATGTCTACATTTAACCATACATCCAACTTCTCTAAGGCTGGTCCTTGTCTTTTCTTATAAATTTGAAGTTTTATGATTGAGCTGCTTAGTTTCTTGAGTGAGGTTAGTGACTTTGGTTTTGTTGTCCTTTTATGCTTTTCTTTTACCTTTAAATTTATTTAGAAGTCTTTAATTAGAGGCACAACACCCTCAACTTGTTAGCTCAAATTTGCCTAGTTAGCTTAGTTATGCTTATCTTTAATTTAAAAGGTTATAACTAGTAAAGTTTTCATGTAGTGAGTCATTCACTGCTTAAAAAGAGGTAATATTCCCTTGTCTCTTAATTTTGTAGTCAGTTTCTTTTTAGTCTATTCTCATTTCCATTGATGTGTGTGTGAATCTTGGTTTTTACTCTTCTTTTTGTGTTGTTTATAATCATTTCCAGGTGGTTCTTTCCCCATATATGTGCTCTCTAAATGTTGTACATGTATAGTAAGTTTAGAGTGTTGGATAAGATTTCCCTTTTATGTGACTTTCCTATTACTATTTTTTTCTGATTCATGTTCTATTTTGTGACCATTGTTGATTCTAGAACTGATTGAGTAGATATTGGGTCTGGTTGAGCTAGGCATAAGGTTTTGAACATTAACTCAGCCTCTCAAGGGGGAGTCTTGCAATCGTGTGCTGCTTAGTTTCTTGAGTGAGGTTGTTGTCTTTGACAAATAATATGAAATTTTGTATTTTTTATATGAAATCCATTACATCTTTTAAATGTTTAGATTTGTCAAAATCGTTTGACGTTACTGTCGTGTCTTATTATCTTAAGATTGAGTTTTTAGATTTTAAATCTTTTACATCATTTCTCTTTTAACTAATTGAAATTCTAGGTAAAATAGGTATTGTTAAGTAGATAGCTGATTATGTATAACAACTAGTTCAAGGAAAAAAGACATTTCATTTATGTTGTTCAATAAAATAAGATAGAGCCACTGATCAAAATTTGTTGAATGTAAGTTTTTAAGGGAACCAAATCTATTGGTGTGCTATTCAGAATCTTCTCTTTTATTTCTTATCTTGGTAATTTAATTTTGGTGTCATATAGGATATTCAATATTAAATGGATAGTGGAGATAAAAGTTGGATGGGTCTCCGGAGATTCACCAATGAGTATATCAATGGTGTGAATAACTTTCTTGATACAACTTTTGAACGAGCTTCCAAGGGAGATGAAATATTGTGTCCTTGCAAAAAGTGTGCTAATTGTAAGTGGCATCATCGAAATGTGGTAGAAGATCACTTGGTTGTTTATGGGTTTGTGCAAGGGTACACCAAATGGATTTTTCACGGGGAAAGTTTTTCCTCGAGAAATAATCCAGATCATAATAATAAGGAAGGTTCCAACATGCGTGACAATATTGATGGCCTACTTCATGATACTTTTAGAGATGTTGCAGGTGACTTGAGGCTTGAGAGAGTGAGAGAGGGGCCATTCGAAGATGTAAAGAAATTTTTTAAATTGCTGGAGGAAGGTAAACAAAAGTTAGATCATGGGTGGTGTGAGAATTTCTCTAAACTGAATTTCACCATTCGATTATTCTTGTTCAAATGCATTCATGGTTTGAGTAATGTGGCCTTTGGAGACTTGTTAGACCTGTTAAGAGAGGCATTTCCATTCGCTCATATACCTGAGTCGTTCCACAAATCAAAAAATGTGATTAAAGATTTGGGTTTTGATTATGAAAAAATACATGCATGTCCTAATGATTGCATGTTATTTTGGAAGGAAAATGAGAAGGAAAATAATTGCTCTGTTTGTGGCTCGTCTAGATGGAAGACTGTTAATGATCCCTTGACTAATGAAAGCTCCAAAATTCTTGGAAAGGTTTTAATGTACCTTCCCTTAAAACCTAGGCTTCAGAGAATATTCATGTGTCCTGAAACAACTGCAAATATGAAATGGCAAGATACTGAACGACCCAAAGATGGCAATATAAGGCATTCGGCTGACGGGGAAGCTTGGAAGAATTTTGATTCCTTGCATGAAGATTTTGCTAGAGATCCTCGTAATGTTAGATTGGGTCTTTCAAGTGATGGTTTCAACCCGTTTCAAACCATGAGTATTTCCCATAGCACATGGTGTAACGACCCTAAAAACAAACTAGAGTAACTAGAGCCTAACGTGGGTTCGTTTGTGATCGTATTGAGTGTTGATGGTATTTCGTGTTGTCAAGATGCATGGTTAATGTATTTTTTTTAAAAGGTATTAAAACTTTTAAAATGGTATTTTAGAATTCATTCTTTATATTTCTCAAAAACAAAACCCTTCTCTCCTAAAAGTTCACTCTAGAACTCCATTAAAGGTCAAGGTCCAAAATCAAGCTAGGGTTGAAGGTTTCAAGTGTTTTCTTCTCAAAATTCGTGGGATTCAATATTGTTGGCAAAGTTCTTTGCCAAGATTGTACTCAAGGATGGAATGAATGGGTTGATGGTGCCAAAGCCATCAAAGGTATGCAATTTATTGTGACAGATTCAGAATTTAGACGTTACGAGTTTTGAATTAATTCATAGAATAGGTCCATAAATCATAAATGTATATTTAACTCTATTTATGTGATTTTCTTAACACTATCTATATGGAGCGGATGAAAAATATGAAATTAAACACTATCTATGTGGAGGACTGAAAATATCAAATTATGCTATGGGGATTAATTAAAGTGCACGTTATTAGAGTTGTGTGAATTGTATTATGACTCATTGGTTAACTTATTTTTACTTATTATATTAATCTTTGAAAAATTAATATAAATAGTTGTTCCCTCAAAAATTGTCGGCAAATGTATAATATACGTATATATTATGTATATCAAGACCCCTAAATACTTGAGCAACAATATACAATAACTTATTTATAAATTTGACCCATTTTGACCCGTCTTGTCACACTTAACATATAAGATCACATTCATTTTGTAACTTGCATCGAATCTTATGCAGGTAGCATAGTATCTCTGATGTGTCTGGATGAGAGAAGAAGAGTGATGTATTACGAAAGTGACCTAACAGATGAAGCTGGAATTTTTGACTTAATTGTTAACCAAACTTGTCATGGCAAAACAATTAAGCCACAAAATTGCTTTGTGAGATTGGTTTCTTTCCTTTCAAGGAGCTCAATCCAAATGATTTCAAAGTTCTTTCAAAAACACAAAAACCCAAATTTCGATTCTAAGTATGGGTTCTTGCATTAAATAATTTTTAATGATGATTTATTTTATTATTGATGTTTGTTGATGGTTTTTAAGAAAGAAAATTCCATGAACCAATGTCTTTCCAAGTTTCCTAAATTTCACCATAAAGTGGGTATATTGATTTTGATTCGATGATATAGAATTATGTTTAGATTGTTGTTGGCTGTTGATTTATGCCATTAACTATATCTAATTGTGTGGAATTGTTATTGAATTGAGTAATTGGGTTCATAGCCTTGAATGGGCATTTTATGAATTAATCTTCATGATGATTATTGAATTATGTTTAGATTGAATTGTTTTATTGGTTTCTAGTGTTATCTACACCTATCTTATGGTGAATTGTAGTAGAATTTAGTAAAGGTGATTATGGCTTTGGAGAATGGTAAGTTGACTTAACTTCATTGTTAATGTAAAGTTGATTTATGATTGTGATAGATTGATGTGTGATCCACTTATGGTGGAGGTGTTTACTTATTGAATGTATTATGATCATGGCCTTAAAGGCATTATATGAATAATTAGTATTACCATGATATTGTGTTGTGAATGTGATGTGAAGGAGTTGAATGAGAATCTAATAAAGTAAAGGTAATTATGTTGTAAATGCAAGGGTGTTGTGATTGAAAGCATGTTCTCTCTTAACACTTATGAATGCAGATGATGGAATGTGAAGTGCCTTATATTGTTGAATGTCATCTCTTGACTTGGTAGCCTTAGATGCTCTTCTTGATAAATAAAACTTTATGTTGAATATAAATCGATTGGCAATGGCATTCCTTTCACATGTAAGTGATGAAACCTATTTCTGAGTTGGGTTGTGTTTAGTAATTTATGCATATGTCGTTCTCTATAACTTCTTTTACAATGAATAAATATGATTTGGAAAGCTAACTCGTATACCGACAACTCTTATGCATGTGTAAAACTCTAATTTAGCTGTTATGGATACGAAATATGGGATGCAACATAGGGCAAGTTCTGCCTAGATTTCAGAAATTGAAATCCTGTATGATCAGATGTTAGTGTTTTGAATATATCTTTTTGTACAAAATGTATTTTGTGGTGATTCTTGTTTGTTTGCAACCTTAAGAGATGTAGTTACATCTTTCATGAAGTTTATAAAGTCTAGTTTTGCTATTTTCCTTTCAAATCTAACTTGCGACTTGAGGTACCAGGCTGGACAGATTCACTGTTTTGGGATCAAAGTTGTATTTGTACATGCTAGGCTTACTTGTGATGATGAACCTGTTTTACATCAACATTACTGAGCCAATAGAAGTTAAAGAAGTTATGTAATTGTATTTTTAAGGTTGTATATACTCGTGAACAAGTTGAGGACCTTGAAACGTTGGTTGGTCTACAGTTTGAATTCACAAAGTTGTGTGGACTGTTTATTTGTTAAAGTACTGAGGTTTATGTATAAACTTGTACTTGCACTCTTTTAAGTGCTGGAATATTTGAAAGATGATCTTGGTACCTTGGTTACCTCTTGTCACTTTGCATTGTCGTGACGGTAGACGTTAAGACGTTAAAGACACTTGTGTAACTCGCCCACTTGTACGGATTGTTTGATCTCTTGGCACTCTTGTTGGGACCTTGTCCTTCTTGTGGTTGTGACTTTGTCACTATTGGCATGGCTCTTGATTCGAATCATTTGCTATCTTGACTCTGGATTTTTAGTCCGTTTTAAGAATGGAAGTTGTCCATTTTAAGTTCAAACTAGGAAGCCATTTTTAATATGGTTCTTGGTTCTCTTGATTATTGGGCTTTGACCCTTCTTGATACAGGGCGTTGACCCTTTTTGATACTTGCTTGTGCTTGGTGCGAAGACATGATGTACATATTGGGCGAGCCTTGTTATTGAATCTCTTGGAAATTTTTGCTATGAGAGTTCTTGACACTTGGATCTTTAAATGCAAAACTTGATACCCTTAGTGTGAACTTTAGTTATTTGATAGGTTCTACAACGTGTATGTAGTAGTATGGGATGCTATCTACAAATGGCACGAGTAGGCTTTGAAGGTGCTAACGTGAGTTCCTTAAGTCAATTTGACTAAAGTGTGAAGGTCCCTAAAAGCATGAATGTGTCCTAAATGACTTTAAAGAAAAATGTTGACTTATTGTCTAAATGATTTGTTGAATGAATAGCTTATGGTAATGAAGTGAGTTACTTAGTATGTTACCTTGAAGCATGATGGTTTTTGTCTATTGTAGCCTTGAGGAACACTTAGGTGTGTCTGAAGAGGTTGTATGGGTGGCCACTTCATGTCTCACTCAAGTGTGTCTTAGGGTAACTTTAGATAAGGGTCCTTGGATGATGAAATGAGTTACTTGGAGAAAGTGTTGAGTATGTCTATAATGTGGTTAATGTCTTATATGTTGGTTATGTTCTATAATATTCCTAATATGTCAATGTTCATGAAGTTTTACTAAAATGACATAAGACATGACTTTCAACCAAATGTCCTTGTTAGCATGTTTTTGCATGGTTTCCATACTTATTACTTAATTGTGCTAACCCCTTTATTTCCCATTTGACTAAAATGTAGGGACTTTTGGAGATGTTGATATTCCATGGTTGATGGATATGTTTCTAAGGTGTTTGAAGATGAGGACTTGGTGAGTCCTTATAGATTCGAGGACAATAACTAACATGTTCCTTTATGTCTTGTAGTTTTGTTATAGTTTTGAGTGGGCTTAGTCCCAATGTTGTATTCAAGTATTAGATGGTTTTGAGACATCATGTATAAAGTCTGAAAAGTCTTCCACTTGTTATTTGATGAAAGTTTTTTCGTATGTGAAGAAAGTTTTTTATTCCTTGTGGGGTTTAGTGTCTATGCGATGAATGAATGCTAAGAGGCTTGTATTAGACCTCCAAGAGGTCGAGTACGCCGGTTACGACTAGGGGGTGCTCTCGGGTCGTGACACATGGCCTGTTATGTTAATGAATTATAATTTTTCACCGTGGATTTGCATGAAATCGGAGTATATGATATTATGTATGATCATTCCAGGTCTATCGTCTCCAGGAAAGGATATTGATGTCTACCATCAACCACTAATTGCAGAATTGAAAGAATTGTGGGAAACTGGGATAGAAACATATGATGCTGATTCTAACCAAACTTTTCAATTGCGTGCAGGCTTATTGTGGACAATTAGTGATTTTCCAACCTATGCAATGCTTTCTGGTTGGAGCACAAAAGGAAGAAAGGCATGCCCAACTTGTAATCATGGGACATGCTCTCAATATCTCAAGCATAGTCGTAAGATGTGTTATATGGGTCATCGGGCATTCTTACCTCATGATCATCCATTTCGAAGAGATAAGAAATCATTTGATGGTAAAGAAGATCACAGATCTGCACCTACTCCCTTATCAGGGACAGAAGTATTAGAAGAGTTGCGTGAATTCAATAATGTTTTCGGAAAAGGACAAAAATGGAAGCGTCGTGATAGTGAGGGTCCATGGAAAAAAAGCTCCATCTTTTTTGAATTGCCATACTAGGAACATAACAAACTGAGGCACAATCTTGATGTGATGCACATTGAAAAAAATATTTGTGACAGTTTGCTCGGGACTTTGTTGGATGTAACTGGAAAGTCAAAAGACCATGTAAATTCTCGATATGACTTGCATGAAATGGGGATACGAAAGGAGCTTCAACCAGTACAAGATGATAATGGAAAAGTTCATTTGGCTAAAACCTGTTTCTCCATGAAACCAGCAAAAAAGAAGTTATTTTGCACTGTTATTAAAAATGCCAAATTACCAAAAGGTTGTGTTTCAAATAAATCAAGATGTGTGGAAGTGGATGAGATGAAAATATCAGGTTACAAGAGCCATGATGCTTATTTCATAATGCATTACTTGTTCCAAATTGTTGTTAGAAAAGTGTTGCCCAAAAAAGTTTCTATGGCTTTGATTCGGTTGGGGAACTTCTTTAAAGTCATAAGTAGCAAGGTGATAAGGCGAGCAGATCTTGATACAATGCAGTCTGAGATCAATGAGATTATATGTGACCTTGAAAAGATTTTCCCTCCATCTTTTTTTTGATATAATGGTACATTTGCCCATCCATTTAGTAAATGAAATTAAGCTTGGGGGTCCGACACATCTTCGTTGGATGTATTCCACTGAAAGAAACCTATGTTTCTTCAAGGGGCTTCTTCGTAATCGATTTCATCTAGAAGCATCAATACTAGAGGGATTCGTGGCGCTAGAGCGCGTTAATTTATGTTCTAGATACCTACATGCTTGGGTGAAAACAAAATTTAGTCGATACCAATTAGAGGATGAGCAGGGAACTGAAACAGAGGGAGATAATTTGTCACCTATATTCCCTAAATTTGGCCATCCGATTGGAAGGGAGAAAAAAAACAAAGGCAATAATTTTCACATGGATCTCCAGTTATGTGTTGATATACATTGATATGTATTGTTTAATGCTGGAGATGAAATAATGGAGACCTTTATCATGTAATATCTGTCACTTTTATTATAAACTTCAATATTTTTTATATGATAAGAACTTTGAAACATGCTAATTTGAAACATGATTGCTTGCAGGGAACATAAGACTGTAATTGACAATCATAGTAGATCAAATGCATAGATTAGAGCACAAAATCATAGTCAGGAATTTGGCAACTGGTTTAAGGAGAAAGTTTAATCTGTTGAAGTGCCTGAACATTTACGACAACTCGCTAACGGGCCTAATACTGCAGCAAAAAGATTTACAACATATTTCATCAATGGATATCGATTTCATACAATGAAACGAGATAGTCAAGGTAAGACCCAGAACTGTGGAGTGACTTTATCAGCAACGACTGATAGTTTTGCTAGTGCTAGAGACCAAAACCCCATTGATGGAGAAGTTGTCTATTATGGAGTTATTCAAGATATCATAGAGATTGATTATTGGGGTTGCTTTAGTGTTGTGTTGTTTAAATGTGATTAGTTTCGTAATGAAGTAGATGAATATAGATGAACTCGAGTATACTTCAACAAGTTATGCAGTACTGAAGATCCATTTGTACTGGCATCTCAAGTGCATCAAGTTTTCTATGTAGAGGATCTAATTGAGAAAGATGTTTATTATGCAAGGACCAAAGTTCATGTTGATTTATTTGATTTAGTAGAAGAGAATTGACCTAATATTGGAGACACATTTTTTGGGGAGCCAAACAATGACATTGGACCATCAAATGGAATAAATGATGTTGTTGTTGATCTCAGATGGTCAAGAGAAGATGTACCTAGTGATGTCCTTGATATGCCAACTCATGATCAACATTCATAATATATGGAAGAAGATATGGACACATCAGAAGAAGATGAGGACTTTGATGATGTCGATTGGGATTGGATGGTGATTGATGATTGACGAAGGGATTTTTCTTATATATCTCTATTGCATTTTCTTATATGTACTATTGGTTTGAAAGTCAATTGAAAGAATGTTGATTTTGCCTATTTTATTATTATTGTGTACTTCTGTCTTTTTGGGTTATCTAAATATTAGAGATTGCTTTAGTGCTTCATTTGCTGAAACGAGCTGAGTGATTTTGCTTTAGAAAGCCTATGTGAATCAGGTAGCAAGAAATGGTGATTTTGATTTCTGCTTCACACTTTCTCCTTTTTACTAGTTCGTATTATTGTGACTGTAATCTTCTTTTCACTGATTCTGCTTTATCTTCTTGATTCTGTTGGGATGTCTAACTCCTTATCTTTATATCTCTATTTTTACAGCAGGCAATACTTGGTAGTCATGAAATAGCGAGAGTCTTCAAGAATAAGGAATAAAGAAACACGAGCAACTGTTCCAACCGGAACACTCACATCTTTGGCGAATCAAAAGAAGTTGTTGCTAGCTAGAAGAAGAAAGGATCTACTGATCAAAAAGCGTCAGCGTCTAACAGATGTAATAGAAGAACAAGATGCGCTAGAATCACACAATCCAGAGGCAGGAGTTCGTATACAAGCTGACTTAACTAACAATGTAGTGCAACCAGTAGAAGAACAACTCCAATTGAATTCTACTGCTCTTGAAGTAAATGAACAATGTGAAGAACAAGGCAAGAACATCCATATTTTATTTATAATATTACTTTTCTTTTTTAATTATAAAATCAAACTACAATACTACTTTGGAAGGGTTATCTTTATTTGTGTATTATTGTAGACTCTTCCACTAAAAAAAGACAAAGAGGTCAAACAAAGATGTTATCTGTACATGGAAGGCATGATCGTAAACTGATTGTACTGAATAAAGCTGGTCGGCCAGTTGGTCCTAGTAATGATGTCGTGATAGAGTTGAGCAGCTTCCTCGGTACACTTGCTAGGAATGCGACCCTTTGTCCTCTTGATATAGAAAATTGGAAGTTGCTTGACACAAAACAGGATTTGTGCTTGACACAAAACAGGATTTGTGGGATTATACCAAGGTTTGAAGTTTTCAATTCTCTGTTAAGTTAAATATATTTAACATTTATTGCACTAACTCAATGTCCAATTTTTCAGGAGAGATATGATATTCTAGAAATCGGAAATAGATGAACTTTAAAAACAATTCAAGAAGCTTGGAGAAGGCGTAAGTTTGATTTGAAAACACACCACTTTGATGCCTACGCTAATGATCAAATTCGGATGGAAAAAAAGCCTGATGATGTTCCAACATCTCAATTTAAGGAACTTCTTAAATATTGGAACTCAGAAAAATTTCAGGTAAGTCTTACTAGTTGGTAATATGAAATAAGAGTTATTTGACTCATCGATCTTAGGAAAAGATAAAAAATCTCCTTCATTTTAGTGTTTCGTGGGTCCAACTTCTTTACAATTTTATTTTAGATTAATTAAAGAAAGTTATTGATTTTACTTCTATATTGTGATTGATTCTAGTTTATCACTCCCATAATTAACTGTGGCAGTGATAGTACTTGCTTAAATATGGTAACTGAACCTTTATCCCACTATTAAATTGATACTTCTGAGTATATAATATTTTCTTAAATGATTGTTTTCTTTCCATCCAATTATTTGGTTTAATTATATGACAGCTTTGGTAGTGGTTCAATTATGGTAAGTTGGGATTTATATTATCATTTTCCCTTCTGTCCTTGTTGGATTCGAGAACAACCTGTAATACATGTTTCTTGGTCGAATTTTATTCCTTATGGATTGAGTTACTTCTCTTTTAGTAAGAGAATATTGTGATTAGCTGATTTGGTGGTTATTTTTGCTCTTCATTTCCAAAATATTTTAAGCTATATAAAGAGCTCTTTTCTTCTGTAACTGATCACTGGCAGTGTCTCTTCTTTCTGGGAGACCACTGAGCTCTCATCTTTTTTACGGATCACTAGTCATTGGAAAAAAGTTTTCCTCTTCTATAAAAATCACTTGATCATTGTGGAAGTTCTCTTCTATTTGTAGAAAATGTCAAAAGCCAATAGTGAGAATCAAAAAAAGTTGAAGAATACACATACTGTTGGCAAGAAAAGCTTTTGTTTAGTTCGCAATGATTTGATATGAGCTCCTGCGTAGCATTGAATAAAAACATGTAGCATTTTAAAGAAGATGTTTGATATCCACTTTTAATGTGTACAGGAAAAGAGGGGGAAACTAATGATACTCCATCACTTAAGGAATTTTTTGTGGTTACAAGAAAAAGAAAGCCTAATCGATCATACAAGGATACAAATGAAGATATAGCTAGTAAAATTGTGAGATTTCTATCGAATTTTTATTTTGTTTGATTTGAATTTGTCTTTTCATATTTACTCTTTATATGTGTACTTGAATTCTCTTTTTTTTTTTAATAATAAAACTGCATTATAGGCTGAGATGGAGAATATTGAAATGCAACAAAATGAAGATGGTAATGAGACAATTGATGCATTTGCTTCTGTCATGGGATCAGAACATCCAAGAAGTTTAAGATTATATGGAAGAGGGGTTACAAAAACTACTTTGAAAGGGAAAGTGGGAAATTTTGAAGCCTCATCAAATGCAACAAATGACCTCGTGAAAAAGATGGAAGACAGAATACTGAGAATGGAGGAAAAAATTGAGGAACAGAGGGAAATTTGACCAACAAAAGACCACGATGAGACAAGAAATTGTAGAAGATGTCATAACAAAACTTCAACGTTCAGGCCTACCAATTGATGTTAATGTTTTGGCAACATTACTTGATGTTTCGTCAACACGAGAAACAAATATTCGGCCAATCCATCGTTCATCTACCAGTAGCAACAATCAAGGTCAGAATCCTCCTCCTTCTTCTTCATTTTCTTCTACTACTGCTTTTGCAGTTTCTTGTTTGGTTCATCTTCATTTATGGCCTATTATGTTAATCTGCTTCTACTTCTTTTTCTTGTGCTACTACACTTGCAATCTTCTTGTATTTTTGCTGGTGCAACTGCGATCATCTTTTTATTTTATCTAAGTTGATATTATCGAGATTTGTGTTCCTGTTGTTTGCATAGTTTAGGAGTGTTGAACTAAACTTAAAACATCAATTGACTAAGAAGGTTTTAAAAGGTGTGCTCAAGATCTGGGTTGATTTTAGGTGTTGTTGGTTTCTAGTAAAAATATACTAACCCTATTTGTTGGTTTTTCCTTTTTGGTTCATCGTTTGTTTCTTATGTATAGTGACCGACTTTGTTCTTGTTGTATTGCCTCTTCATGTAACCCTATTTGTTGCTCTGTCTCTTGTGTTTAACTATTCTATTTTGATCAACAAATATCATGTTTATGACTGTGTAATCTTTCTAGTTCTGATTCTGAGGATTGTAATTTGTGATTTATCGAAATTTAATGTCTTCCGTCCTTTGGTGGGGAGAGCTTGAAAACTGTGGTAATGGATTGAGTTGTCTTGTTCAAGTGCAATGCTTGTAATGTAGTCAGCTAACTGATTTGTTTCTGACTTAGTTGTAACCTCTCAGCTTCTTCACCTGGTGCTAATTCTTCTAAGTGTTTACTGGCTGCTAAACTGTCCTTATCTGTGTACACTGTTATAGCTATATATTTCAAGTTGTTTCCTGATAGGTTTG